TATAAATTTCATTTTAAACTAGAATATATATCAAAACTACATAATATTTTTTTTTATTTACTTGATATATGTCATTTAATAAGGTAAGCATATATGATTTGTTTTGTGGTGAAGCTATCAGCTGTCTAAATTAGGTACATATGCGAGCAGAGTAGAATGTAATAATTCCATCCTTACTTATCATTAGTTACAACTCCTAGACTATAATCCCCCTGGACGCACAACAAGTCAGTCCACTGCTTCCATTCTCGCTTGCTAAAGTTGCTCGCCACTGCAATGCAGCAGTAGCTGGTATTTCACCCAACATGTCCTTTCGCTAATAACTAGCCTACCCCTGCCCTCACTTAATCAAGGGGAGGAGCATACGTCACGCTTGAGGTGGATGTAGGCATAGATGTTGATCGCATTCGTGAGCGTTATTCCTGCATAGCGCACAACTGAGGTGTTAGCGGAGTGGTGGTAGTGTGGGTGGGTGGGAGAGGTTGAGGGGTGAAGAATGCAATTTACATATATTCCCCGGTGCGATTCTGTGGCTGGCTTTGTGTTTAGCTGTGTTTTTAATTAGCCTGTGGCCAAGAGAGAGAGAGAGATGAGATGAGAGAGAGAGGGAGAGAGAGAGAGAGAGAAGGAGAGAGAGGGGGAGAGGGAAGGGAGAGAGAGGCTGTCAGCGATGGAGCTGTTCTCTTTCCGCACGCGCATATTCATAAGCGCATCATCTCAGATGGATGCCCGCACAAAACAGGAAAGCACGTTTCGAGTGAAATTCGATAAAACCCGTCAAAACAGATGGTGAATTTATTGATTATTTAAATAAAATTTATTGATCAATTAGCGAAAAATTTCCCGCTTAATTAGCGGGCGCAGAGTGAACTTGTGCAGAAAATTAAAAAAACCAACGACGTGTCGACCGCACTATGCAGCCGTGATTTGCATACGTGTGCAACAGAGAAGCCGATGACAACAAATATTGTGAGTTTGGCGAGAGAGCGCGTTTTCAGTTGACAACATTCAATGCACGATGGCATTGCGCTTGGAGATGGTGGTGCCATCTACCAACAGGTGGTGATAAACCACAGTTTCACTATGTGAAATAGTGAATTTAAGCAGAAGGTGGTCATTGTCGCGGGTCTCGGAGTCAGTAGGTTGCATGTAATGGCAATGCGCTTTTAATTACACCGAGTTCATTCAAAATCTTATTATGCTCGTAGTTGTTTGCTCACGCTAGGATTTTCACATTTCACGGCAGTCTGTGATCTCGTGAGTGAAGGTGATTGAAACATCTGCTATGTGTATGTATGCAAGCACTGAATGATCAGTAAGCATGAAAAGCAATGTGCAAAGAACACTCTGAAATAATACGTCTCTTCATGCTGAATGGAGGCTTGCTAGCTGAACTAGGGAAATATATTAGAGGTACGCCGCCATAATTTGTTTTATAAGCGTTATAGAGTGTTACGAAGTCACACTGAAAGTTGCTATAGTAAGTATTACCATACTGATTGATTACTGATTACACGTGGGGAATACGCATTTGCGTAACACGCGTTTATTTCTAGTAAATAGCACATGGTGCGCTGAGTGTTGGTGATTGCAAAAATATAGGATGGTCAGATCAGGCTGGATAGACAGATGGACGCGGAGGTTGGAGGTAATTACTCGGGACTGGGCGAGGAGTGCGGCAGTGTGCGTTGTCGACTGCTATCACGCATTCTGTCAGAAGTTTGCCGCGTGACTCGTTCGGCAAATACAATGCAGCCCAGTAATTGCTTTTCGCCGAACAGAGAGAGATGGAGAGGAGAGAGAGCGAGGGTGAAAGAGAGAGTGAGTGAGGGAGAGAGAGGGAGTGAGAGAGAGAGGAGAGAGAGAGAGAGAGAGAGAGAGAGAGAGAGAGAGAGAGAGAGAGAGAGAGAGAGAGAGAGAGGAGATTAGCTCTCTCTGCTCTCTGCTCTCCATCTCTTTCACTCTCTCTGCACATCTGTTCGCGTTCTCTCTGCGCGCTGCTCTCATCATAACTTACTCACTCTCTCTCGCTCTCATGTCGTCCCGACCGGCCTGTAATATAATGCATTGCGGCGTGAG